GGAGAGCAGATTCTCCTTGTGTAGGGGGCTCCCAGGAATACTACAAACTATCATGCTAGCCCATAATCAGGCCTCACAAATTTGTTATAATTTTAGATGTTTTCCTCTTGCCCACTCTGATGGCAACATTTCTTGCTGTGCTGTGCCAAGAGGGAAAAGTTCATGTGTCCCGTCTTTTCTCAGAGGGGCTCATACCCCTTTGGAATTCAGTTCACTTCAGGGTCAGCTCAGGTGAGGAATTCAGTCTCTAAGGGACTCAGAAAAAATTATTATATTTTTTAGTTTTTGCAGCTTTTCCCCACATATGGTGGGAGCAACATTCTTTGCAGTTTTCCTCATCTTAATGAGAAGCAGATCTCCTGCTTCTTTTTTAAGAAACATTCAAACAATTTTAACATGCCCTGCAAAACCCAGCACAGTCCTATTTGCTTGTCTGTCCAGCCAAATCTTGTCTCACTCTCCCCTCCTTCATTCACTACACTCCAGCAACAAGGATCTCTCAGTTCCTCAGAGGTGCCAGGTTTTTCCCATTCCCCAGAGCCTTTGCACATGCCGTTTGCTCAGCCTAGAGTGTTCTTCTCCATGTCCATACCTCCTGAACTCCAGCTCCTCCAGAGATCCTTCCTTTATCCCACACCCCCTACCCAAATTGGTACATAAATTACGTCCTCATTCTTTTTCACAGCTGGACAATATCCCATTATCTGGCTATATGGTCTTTAGTCAGTCCCCATTGGTGGTTAGATTATTTCCAGTCCTTTTTTTTTTTTAAACAATTAATAATCTTGTACATAAAACATATCTGTAGGCTAAATTCCTGGAAGAATTGCTAGATTAAATGGTACATGGAGATTCAGGATAGTGCTTAAGAGTCTGGGCTCTACCACCTGCCAGCTGTGTCACTTGGGCAAATGATTTCACCTTTCTGTGCCTCAGTTTCCTCATTTGCAAAATGGGTATGATAGCAGCCCCTCTCTTAAAATTGCAGTGAGGCTAAGAGAGTTGGTACATGTGAAGTGCTTGTAGCAATGTCTAGCACATAACCACTCAATAAATGTCCACTGTTATTATTTTAGCATTTACGATTTTGTATAGATATTGACAGGTTTCCATAAATACGTTATCAATTTATACTACCATCAGTACGCGAATGACTGTCTCTTCACATTCCCAACAGTGTCTTGTTTAAACAACTTTTTAAATGTTTGCTAACATGATGTACATGGCATCTCATAAAAGTTTAATTTATATTTGTCTCATTAAGAGTGAGTTCCTGTGTCCTGAATGTTTCACATGTTCCACAGACTTCTCTTTGTCATTGGCCTTGTTCCTAGTGATTTGTAGTTCTTTGTGTGTTAGTAACTGTAAGTTACTTTTCCACAGTATTCAACACTTTTCTCCTGTTGTACTTCTTTCCGTTTTGAATGAGGTCTTCATTGTGCTTATTTCTTAAAGCTCCATAAGCTCAAGGTCAGTGTTTATTTGTTCATCATCACATACTGAACACAAAGTAAAATACTGAACATATAATAAATGATTGATAAATATTTGATGAATGGGCCCAATGTAACGAAGAGAATCTCATTACCTAAATAGACTGGAAAATTGGAAGGAAACTAGTTTGTATGAAAACACCATGAGTTTAGTTTTAGATATGTTGAGTCTTAGGCAACAGCTAAATATGTACAATACTCTTACTTTGGCAAGATACTCATGAAGATTTTGGGGTCATCCCCACGAAGTGGTTGATTGGGAACAGATGATCTCTGATGGAAAGAATGTTATGTAAGGGTGCATAGACGAATACTTCCAATCAGAAATAATTCCAAGTTATTATGGTTGTCATAAAAGTTTTAAGACAGATATGAAATGAAAAATAGAAACATTATATATTTACAAGTATAAAGCAAATGGGGAAATGGAGAAAAAAATTTAATGCCTTGGGATAATAATTATTATTAAAAAGTATTTAGATCATGTTGTGATTTTGCCCAAATCACTTATTATGAAGAAATGAAATCTTTTACTAATGGAAAACTGAGGCCATCATAAGTATACAAGCTTCTGGAAAGCAAAAGTGCTCTTTTTATATAAAGTAAGCTATTTGGTTTATCAATATTGTGCTTTTCAGTTTATAATTAGACAGCAATTGTGTTTTCTGCTACTGAATGATCACTGAGAGATTGCTACTATCCATTTAAGTCTCCAGTTCTGTTTTTCAGATTATAGGAGCTGCATGAAAAAGAAGAAACCATTCACTCTTCTAAAAAGAAATGCTTACTTTTTTCAGAACAGAGAATTTATCCTAAAATAAACTATACATATTATTTAACCCATAAGAATATCTTTATGGCTGTAGTCATTCAAAAACCATATTGACTAAAATGAATATGGACTAGTACTTTTAATGAGTCTGTTATGAGGTTATATTCCTTGTTTAATAATTGGAAGAAAATAATCAGGGCAGGAATCCTATTCTGATAGGGAATGTGTGGTACTCCAATGTCAATCTCGATTTTTAAATGATGCTATGGGTTAAAAGATACTAAAGTGTACATTTTGTCTCCTTTTCATGAAAGAAAAAATCTGTGCCTTAAAGTCTACAGGTACAGATATGAACGTTGGACAAACAAATCATTTGAACAAAAACCTTATCATATTAGAATGACTTTCTACTTAACTTTTTAGCTGCCTTTGCCTTACTGACCAGATATCCTTGTATTTCTGAGCATTTTATTGAAGCTCTTATGTACAGTCATGACATTCTTCCCTGCAGGTCAGGTGGTTGTTAGTGATCAGTAAAGTGATCTGTAGCAAAAATGCAGGAAGTGTGAAAAAAGAAAATAAATCTACTTGAACCTGTGCAGCAACAGTTGTCATGGCCTGTCTGGCTGGGCACGTGCTACTGGCAGAGACGGACACAGTGTCACTTCAGGGACTTGTAAGAAGCTAGTCATTTGCTTATGCTGAGTTCCCAGAAATGCTTATTTTCTACTTCAAATAGGAATACTTATTCACTAAGAGAGAAAAGAAACTCCTAGGTGGCCTGAGTTAATCTACAAAGGAAACAGTTGCAGAATTTTTTAGCCAAGGTCTCATTTTATATAACTTGTGTTAATGGCCCGGAAATAGATATAATTTAATAAAGCTTGTTTTGTTTTCCTTAGTTATAAAAACAACATCCCCAGAAATATTCTCAAAGAATATTCTTTGGGCGCTTGGGTAGCTCAGTTGGTTGGGCATCTGACTCTTGGTTTCTGCTTAGGTCATGATCTCACGGTTCATGGGAATCAAGCCCCATGTCAGGTTCTGTGCTGACAGCTCAGAGCCTGCTTGGGATTCTCTCTCTCCCTCTCTCCCTACTCCTCCCCTGCTCGTGCGCATGTGTTTTCTCTCTCTCTTTCTCTCTGTCAAAATAAATAAACAAATAGAATATTCTTGAAGAAATAGAGTAAGGTGGGGGCACCTGGGTGGTTCAATCGATTAAGTGTCAAACTTCAGCTCAGGTCATAATCTCACAGCTTGTGAGTTTGAGCCCCACGTCAGGCTCTGTGCTAACAGCTCAGAGCCTAGAGCCTGCTTCAGATTCTGTGTCTCCCTCTCTCTCTCTGCCCCTTCCCTGCTCACACTGTCTCTCTCTCTCTCAAAAATAAAATAAAAACATTGTAGGGGCGCCTGGGTGGCGCAGTCGGTTAAGCGTCCGACTTCAGCCAGGTCACGATCTCGCGGTCCGTGAGTTCGAGCCCCGCGTCAGGCTCTGGGCTGATGGCTCGGAGCCTGGAGCCTGTTTCCGATTCTGTGTCTCCCTCTCTCTCTGCCCCTTCCCCGTTCATGCTCTGTCTCTCTCTGTCCCAAAAATAAATAAAAAACGTTGGAAAAAAAAAATTTTTTAAATAAAATAAAAACATTTTAAAAATTATTTAAAAAAAAGAAATAGAGTAAGGTTTTATTTCATTTAAATAATTATTTGTTGTGCCTTTTTCCTCTCCTTATGATGAGACTGGGGGGGGCAGGGTGAAACCTAATGGTTTGTTGTGATAGCTCAGTTACTTTCCAAAGAAGTTGGCTCCCTGAGCCATGGAGTCTGTTCTTTAGTGCGTTTGTGTATATTATACCCAGCAGTGGATCCATGACAAGCCAGGATCAAAGGACTGACCCAAAACGTCAGTTAAAATCCTGAGCGGTATGCAGGGATGGATGCAGCAGAGGGATAAAACCATGTTGTTCTAGAGGGGTACCAGCCATAGCTGGAATATAAGAGAATGTGGCTACCTCAACATGGGCCTGTTGTCTTGATATGATGAGGACACAAATGTGCTCGTTTACAGAAATACGGCCATATAATTTCTCGCTTACTTCAATCTGCATTTCTTTATAGCTCACTAACTCAATCCCATTACAGAAATGAAAGCTACGTTTAGCAAATTGTTTGGCCGTTTATGTTTAATGCACAAAATCTTAATTAACAAAATAAAATGCTGCAATCCATTGTAAATCACTTTGCTAAACTTTCAGCCTTCACGAGGAATTTGGTCTTGTCCAGAAGCTGCTTTCAAGCCCCTGCTGATCTGGCACTCATGCACCAATTCCCTGTGGAGCTGAAAGAATGTAAAGGGAGCCAATTAAGGAAACTTTGAGCCAAAATAGACAAGCAGGGGCCATCTTGTCCATCCTTCTGCCTTCAGGCAAAAACCATCCCCTGCACCAAAAATTTGTGCTTGAATCCTGCTGACAAAAATGCTCACCCCGTGTAAATGACAAGTCATAATCCAGTTAATGCAACTAAAGCAGATTGTTAACTGTTCGAGACTTATTTATTGTGTTCTAAAGATGCTGAGTAGGAAAGCTCATCTGAATTGTTTTAATTCCTCCCTTCTAGAAAATTATTTTGTATGAGAAATGTACTCAAATAATTGTAAAGATGTGGGAAGTTTGCATCCAGGAAATAAAGTTATCTTTATCATCTTATTAAATGTATTTTTGGTTTCCTTTCACTGTAGGTCTACCTTATGGGTGGGAGGAAGCTTACACAGCAGATGGAATCAAGTACTTCATCAAGTAAGTACAAGCATCTCAACCAAGTAAGCAATTTTCTTCACATCTGGAGAGAACCTGGAAGTTGCAGAATAATCAGCAAAACCAAGAAACCCTCTTGGAGGTTACAAAAATTAGTAACAAGAAATGAAGCCTCACCATTTTCATTTCATGTGATTTAAATGCTAATATCAGATATCGTTTTGGGGGGGGGGGGAAACCCTAGTAATTATTTCAAGGGAAACAGCAAAAAGTTGAAACAGGATCATAATTTGAACTTAAATGTTGGCTGCCTGAATTCACTTCTGGCTAAAAGTATTAATACTCATGAAAAGTTAATATCTAAAGAAAAAAAATCAACTTTGTATGTCTTAAACTCAATAATGTTAATAATAATCAGCAGTTTTAATATTTTACAACGTACACAGTTCATTCATTCTGCAAATATATTTTGAGCATTTGCTCTATGCCACGCAATGTTCCATGCCTTGGAGATACAGGAGTAAAATATACTGGCTGGTTCTCTGATATCATGGAATTTACACAACAGTAGGGAAAGACAAAAAGTAAACAACTAAAGAGATAAATGAGGCATAATATGAACAAACTCTATTTCAGTGGATTCACAGAATATCTTTTGAAGTATGTGGCCTTATTTTGTGTTTTATGGATGGACAACATAAGAGCTTAGAGCAGTTGCCCAAAAATCCATAGCTACTAAATTACCAAACCAGAATAGAATCCAAGTCTTTTCACTGCAGGATTGTCAGCAATAGGGACCTGCCTTTGAAAGCCTCAAGAGTAATACCTGTCCTAGCTGGACTGGTTAGCTTTACCCTGGAAACGCAGTCTGATCTACTTCCATTGTGTTCTGGTTAGCTCCCTTCGTGTCACAAGTGGTGTTACGAGATCACAAAGGGGAATCCCAAAGACTCCTGACACCTGAAAGACTCCCTTGATTGTCCTTTTTAGTAATGTGTTCTTGTTATGCATTTGGAGAGGAAAGGGAGGTATGTCCTTGATGTCCTTTCAAGTGTGCAAGTATTTTCCAAAGCAGTATTCAAATTTTGATTCTCAAGCTCTGTGACTTTACACAGGTTCCTATGTCACTCTTCACCTCAGTTTTCTCATCATAAAGTAAGGGAAGTATTGCCTACTTCATAGAGTTGTTAAATGTGATGCTCCTAGCATAGAACTTTGAACACAGTAGATGCTGAGTAGTCATTATTAATTTACAGTACGGAGAAACCCATAATTGTTGGTGGGGAAAAACATAAAAAGTCATATGACCATTGAAAACATTGAGAACTCAAAAGTCCATACTTAAAAAGAATTGAGAAAAAAACTAGGAATAAACTTGGCAAAGCATTTTTGTGATGTATATTTTTTCTTGTGGTCCCTAGCAAAAAGTAATTAATAAAGCAAAGGCACAGTTTATAATGTGTGGAGAAAGGAACATTTGGAATAGAGGACCCAGGATTCCCATGCAAAGATTACATTTAGTACCATACTGCTCACTGCCAGAATCCTATCTCTTCTGGAAGGAAAGTTGCCCCCTGCTATGCTAAGTTAACTGTGTTCAGTTCCTGGAAGATTTGAATCATAATACTGTAGAGCTGGCAGGAAAATGAAAACCACATTCACGTTTGCACTGGGTTTCTTTCTCATACTTACTTTGTAATGATTAAGGGAAAAGATGGAGGGGAGAGGAAAATGAGCATTTACAGAGCACGGCCTGATGATGCTCAGTAGTCAGGCATATATTAGGTGGATTTTTGTATGCGTTGCATCATTTAATTCTCCCAATGGTGTGGAGAGTGGACCCCACTTGGCTCTTATTAGCATGCTATTATGGTGGTGGTGAGCTGCATCCTGTCTCTTCAGCCATGCCTGTCTCCTAGAAAGTCCCCAAAAAGAAATGCCAGATCAAAGGAAGGCAAACTAGCGTTCATTATTAACTGGGGTTCTGGTTCAAAGGCCTTTGAAAAAATATCTAAATGAGTCTGGACCCTGTGAGCACTCCTTAGCCTCAGCCAGCTGTCAGTATATCCTCACCCAAAGCTGAGTGTCAGAGCCTAACTGGTGCCATATGAGGAAAGGATACTAAGGACACAGTCACTAAGATAAAGACAAGGAGGAAGCGAGAGTGTTTCCCATTGCCTGGTACCCAGCTGGCTTAAGCCACTGTGCCTTGGGGACTGGAACAATAGTCTTGGTCTGGTGTCTGCTACAAAGAAGAGTAGCATCCAAGGAGAGGAGAAGAGAGAGGGTAAACAAGCCATTTGTCTGCCTTCAGATCTAAGTCACAGTCCTGTGGAAGGAACAGAAAGAGACGCTACATTTATATAGTCTACTCCAGCATAGAAAATACATCCCTTCAACCTGCCCTTTGGAACTCCGCTGATTCTCTTCCTTGACCTTAATCTTGACTTACAAAGAAAGCATTACAGAAATGATAACATAGATTTGTTCCCCAGAGGACACTGGTGGGTATCAGTGTCTCACCATTAGAGTTGGAGACCCTATGTGGAAAAGAGACTAACTTGATCAGGGCCACACGGTAGCAAAATTGCAGAACCAAGGTACGTAAAGCCACCCCCCAACACACACACACACCCATGCTTTACCACCTCCACGTCCTCATTTTAACATAGTATGTTTCCATGTGACAAGAAAGATATTTTAAACAGATCTTGATTTGGGGAGAGCTCTATACTTTATCCATTTTTTTAAATAGCAGAACAGAAACTTAGTTCTAAGAATAAGTAATTATCTCCTGGAGATTAGAAAGGTCACATAGTGAAGATAGGAAAACCTAACAATATGCCAGTTCTTCCTTTACCTGGCCTCATGGAGGAATGAGCTGCTTGCCATGAGTTAGGTTTTTCTGCTAGAAGTTGACCCCATTCAAGCACCAACATGTATTTTAGCTTAACTATTCTTGATGAAAGTTTTACTTAATAAGTGTTACATACTTCCTTGTCTTCTTATATCGAGGCCACTTGGGTCCAAATGCTGATGTCTCCACAGCATAGCTGAATGATCTTAGACATGTTCACTTAAGCTCTCTGGGCTTTAATTCTCCATATTTATGGACTGGTAAGAATATTAGCACTTTGTAGGGTTCTTGTCCAGAATGAATGAGCTTACGTACATGAAAAACCTACCATAGCACCTGACCCAAAGTACATACAGTAAAGTTTAGCCCTAACTCACTCCCTCCCCTCACTGTTAACATTTTGATAGGGGGTTACTTCCTAGCTCTTAGCTGCTATGTTCAGATAGGTGATGTTGCCACATAAGTAATGGCTGCGTAAGCAAGCATCCATTGTATGTCTTTCTTGGAACTGTTTATTTAGCTTTTTTTGTTTTATTTTTTTAATCTTCATCCTCTCACTTACCCCAGCTAAGATTGTGTGCCTGGATAACCTTAGCTTTTGGGGTAGAAGCAGTTCAATTACCAGGTAAATGTACTTTGGAGGCAAGAAATCACAACTAATGAACTCAGGCCATTGCCTCTCTCACCTTAACTTAAAAAGAACAGTCTGAAATCGCCCTTCCAGAACACCGGAGGAGATGATGGTCTGTATACATAGAATCTCTTCCCTGAAATTGACACCTGTCACTGTCTTCCCCAAAATTCAGTTGTTACATCTGATGGAAGCCAAGCCTCAGGCAAAGGAGTAACTGTCATTGCTGTCCCAAGAATGCCCAGATGAATATAGTCCTCATTGAATATTCCTATCCATCCACATGTCCACTGCACACCTATTAATACTTTATAGTAATCATCTACTTAAGTTCTGATGTAAGAGAAGAAAACGTTTTACCCGGCATACACAAATTTAATCAAATGTTGGCATTGCTAGAGCAGGCGTTTCATAGAAGTAACAAACGTGTGTGTTTGTATATATGTGTATGTGTGTATACTAATATGTGTATGCAATATGCACATAGGCAGGGCCTGCCCACTTGCTATATATATATGAGTGTGTGTGTGTATACATATACACACACTCATGCATACCAGCACATTCAAGGGAAAACTTTTGTATTGTCTCCTTAGAAAGTGGCAGCATTCTTTTTTTTTTTTTAACGTTTAT